TCAGATCTTCTCACTGATTTCTCAGTCATCTCCATCATGAAATTTTCACCAGTGCTTTCCAGGAACTTCCTGGATTTCTAAAAGCCCTGCAGTTTTATCAGGGTGGTTAAGTCCACCACAAGGATCAGGGCCTGTCTGTGAACATGAAGCTTCTTCTGGCATCATCAACTGCATCTACTGCTTCCCTGATCAGGCAGCCTGTAGCAGACACTCCCTACAATGTCATCCACACTGATTTGTTGTTTAATCCCCTCCCATAAATTCTCAGAAGGCTCCTCATCCATCTTCAGAAGGGCTCTGTTTACTCTAACTGCTCTCTCCCAACATAGGGGTCTTAAGGGGAACTCCAGCTCTTTGTCATCCTAGCCTGTCCTTCCTAAAGGGTCTGGATCTCTCCACTGCATTATTTAAGTCCTGGGAGTCATCCCACTACGTTGCCATGGTCCCAACAAGGCCACAGCACTGCAATCCCATGCATTTCTCTGCTTACTCAGAGAAATATTTATTTCCCATTCTGCACACATTTGTGTACAGACACTTCAAAGACACTTGGACATGTCATTTCCCAGAAGGGATCAGGGAATTTTTCCCAATTTGGGGTCTTGTAGGTGTTTCCTTGCTTCCTGAAAATGCTTAAGGTCATTGAAGCTCTTTATTGTAGTTGTGTTTGCCTTCACTCACACCACTCTATGCCCTTTGCTAGCCCCTAGCTCTGTCCCTCACTCCATTACAGGCTGCTGGCCTTCATTTTGTCTTCATCTCACATCCCTCCCAGTTTAAAGTCCTTCTTAGGAAGTCAGATATCCTGCTGGCAAAGATGCCTTTGCCTCACTTAGTGAGTTATATCCCATGTCTCCCAGCAGGTTGCTGATCCTCACACAGGGTCCCAGGGGCAGAGAAACCCTCTTGCTAAAATAAATTCCACAGTCAGCACTGCTTGGTTTGTTTATTCTACCAACATGGTCTAAACATAAGAATGACTAAAGGTTAAGGGTTTTATGTAAATTTATAAAAGTCATTTGAAGTCAGAATCTTAAAATGATTCTATAAATGATAGTAAACATATATATCTATATTCTATTGTGTCGAATTTAAGACTTCAGATGCTAACACCTATAATGTGTATGTCCTGCTTAAAAAAAACAACCTTATTTAAATAGCAGGTACTCAGCTTATCCAATACCATTTCACTCTCACAAAGATTCAGCAAATCTGTCGGGACTGAGTGAAAATCATCAAGGAATTCAAAAGCCAAAGTATTTAATTTCCTTATGTCACCTAGTCCTAGGCAAGATAAAATCTATGAGTCTAAAAAACCAATCTGACAGCATCAGAGATTGATCTCATTTACCTACCTCATCCATATGATAACCTTCCGAACAGTATCAGAGATGTTTCTGCAGCATTTGACTAATAGGAATGAGACCAGGCTCAGGCTTTATCATTTCATGAAGTCACTTGGTTATCTGAATCCACTACAACAATCATTAATACTTGAATTCAAGTCTCTGAATGTTGACTTAAATGTGCCCTTATCTAATTCTGAAGACAGTTGTTTTTGGTCATGACTGCTTATGTTCCTGCTTAAGGTGCACCTCTACCAGGTAAATGCACAGCCTGTGCTGCATTCTGAGATTCCTTGCTGCCTGAAGTGAATTTCAAATGTAAACTAACCTATGCTGTCTGGCTGTTAGTGATCATTTTTGTTGTTTTTTTTTTTAATAAGATGAAAAAAGCAGCAGTAGTAGTAATCATCATCATCATCATCATCATCATCATTATCATCATCATCAAAAAAAACCCACACTTTTGCTAGTGATGAATTGCTAGTACCCTCTTCAATTTTCTGTGAAGCAAATTGGCTTAAATCAGTAAGCCAGGCAGCTCAGTGGACACATTTAACTTGCAATTGTGTCAAGAAAATACATCAGAATAAAATTCACAGAAGAACTTAAGAGGATAACCATACTGTAAGAAGCAGATGAACATGACTTTTTAATTTGTCCTTTGGACTAATGCAGATGTTCAGACATGTATTGCACCTTAGTGCCACTTAAAAGAAGTACCTTAGCCAAAGCTGATTTAAGTACATGGGAGGTTTTTCATTAACCCTCCAGTATTTTAGGTGAGGCTTTAAAGCTTTTACTTCAGCACCTGTCTAACTACAGGCATATCAGCATGGTGACTGACATCCAGGCGACAACCACTGTGCCCAAACTGTTAATAATTCAAAGCTGAATTGAAGACCTTCAAACTTTAGTCACAATAATAATGGAAATAAAAATCAGAGAAGGTAATCCAATCCTGTCTCTTATAGCTCTTAATTATACAACTTTTACTAGTCTTCAAGAGAAAGAAGTGAAGACTTTTCCATATATATCTTCAAGTACAGTACAAACAATGTGAAGCTTATAGGCAAGTGAGAGGCTGTAAGGCTAAGTAAGGATACAAAGTGGGTTACCCAGTGTCTCCTCTCACTGAATATCTCTGGTGGTTGACCATCAAGAGAAAGTTTAGCTGTGTAAACTAAACTGACATTTAGATTACATGAATTAAAATGATAAAAACAGCTTTAAAATGGCTGAATAACAGTGCGCAACTATATTTTCAACTTCTCTATTGCCTGAAACATCTTCACATTGCCAGTCACATTTCTACAGGCCCTATATGGCCTCTCACCCGTATGTTCAAGCACAGAGTGAATAGGTTCTTTCAAGGACATGTTTTCACAGACAGCTTTTATTAAGAAACAACATAACCAGCATAATAAAAACTTGGGGGAGTTTCATAGCTTGGGAGAGGATGGGGCAGAGGGGAAGATTGCAAAGGGAAAAACAGCAGCACAGTATCCATGTGGATATGAGCCAAGAGAGACAAGGAGGGCTTTGTTGATCAGGTTACTCCTTCTGCCATAAACAGACCTTCTCCATGTTGTGCAGAAGAAGCAGCAAATGGACTCATGTGCAGTAGGTGGGTTCAATGAAAAGCTGTTGTTTTTCAATTGTGCCAAAACCATTTAATTTCCTTTGTTTCAACAAGCAATTTAGATTAATCCAAGATAAAGAGTATTAAAAAATATATTTTCAGAGTCATTTATAAACGTCCATATTCTTTTTCTGGAAATGGAAGCAGAGAACCTGTTTATCATATATACCTCTTTGACCACCTCTTTGCTCAATAAAAAACATTTACCTGTCAGTCTGTTGGGTCTCCAAAATAAATAAATAAATAAATAAAATATCTGATTCTCCCTTTGTGTCTTTTTGTGTCTGACAGAAGGCATCAAGACTTCACCTAGATCTTCTGTTTTTTGTCTCTCTTCCAAACTGTATTTTTTCCTTTATATCTGAAATGTTGCATAATTTGTAGCATGCTAGTTAACCATGCAGAGCATCTCCTGTGCAGCACTTTCAAATATGTTTTCACCTGGGGTAAATTCTTGCAACTAAGCCTGACCTATGATAAATAACCACATCATCGATTCAGCTATTTAAAAGACACAAGACAGTGTGTGCTGTCAGTTTTGCTGCAAAGAGCTGGATGTTCTGTATGGACATGCTTCCTCCACAGGCTTTGTAAATTACATACTTCTAAATTTTGAGAAACTTGCCTATGAAACACTTGCCGGAAGATAATTTTAATGAAAGAAACTATTTAAAGTGCTGTCCTGAATAGAACTGAATTTTAGCATATACTCAGGCACTTTAAAAAATCAGAGTAAAAATTTCTACAGCTTCCTCAGAAAGCAGCTAGCAAGGGGATGAAATATAAAGTGAGAGCAGAAGCTCCATAGAAGATGGAGGAAGGGAGGCAGTAGCCCAGGCCCAGTGCTGCCCTGGAAGATGGCAGTCCTGCCACTTAGCAGCTGTATAGACAACTGAGGGAAAGACATTTTGGTAATGCATAGCACCAGAGTAGTGCAGCTGTGAGTGCCCTTGGAGACTAGGAAAGAAAGCTGAAGTTAGTCCTTGTGAATGCACTCCCAAATATTTGAAATATCAACTTCAGTCAGACCATTAACACTGCTATGCATGGGCGGAAATACTGAATAGAAATTATTTCTGATCACAGGTTAACTAAAGTGTAAGAGCCAAAGCTGATCACATTTTTTTAATCTTGGATGTTATACTCAAGCATTTGAAATTCTGCAAAACCTGTATAGAAGAATTTTCTTTCACATCAACTTTAATAATGACTTGGCTAATTAGTAATAATTCAGGGAAGAAGACATCACATATTAAAGAACACACGAATGAAGAGGACATGGTAGATCTTGGAGCTGTATACATCCTTCAACTGAGAAATGACTGTCAACAAAATTTATCATTTAGTTATAATTATTATTCCTCTCCCCTTTCCACTCAACTGAATTAATCTGCTGCAGACAGAGATGTTATTTAAGCTCATGTTTCTTACTGTTTTGTATGCTTTAAAATAAGAAGACAGAAAATGTCCTTATTGTCTTCATTCTCTATGCACTGCTTTGGTAAATCCTTTGATACAAAGAAGCAGGAAGGAAAGCATTAAACTGAAGCATTATGAGGCCCAGAAAAAAAATCCAAAGAAGAATCCATAAAAAAAAACAAAAAACAAAAAACAAAAAACCACTAACAACCAAAAAAAAAAACCCTATATGCCATTAACTTATTTCTGTAAAAAGCCAATAACCAAAATCTGATTTTTAGGAAAGAGTGTGAGCTTCCAGCCAGCAATGCCATTTTATTTAGTAGAATGCCCAGGCAAATAGTTAACTTTAAAAGAGTTCTCAGTTTCATTGTTCTGAGAACATTTCTCTGAGGTCAAAATGAGAATTTGATATGCAGGCCTGGATTGAAACATATACTGATTTACAGTCTGAATATGAATCAGCATAAAATTTTCCCTTTAGGATCCATTCATAATAGCTGGTACTGTAGTTCAAGACCACAGAGTCAGAATATATGAGCCCTTAGCCATTCACACCTTCATCAATGATGAGATGCAGTCAGCATCAGCTCAAGTCCCTTAGGGGTTCTGTCATGTTGATTTATTTTCCTGGTTCAAAGCTTCTCTTTATGTGGTCGTAATGACAGGGTAGATTATATATATATATGTAGATATATATTTTTAAATTTCCAGTCCTCTCTTAGCCTACCAAAGGCAAGTTTTATTATCAATTAATCACTTCCTTTCTTATTACCCTTTTATAATGTTGATGTGAAAGTCGTGAATTACTGTACATAGTAACAATGACACAACCATTTTTTGAAAAAAAAAAGCAAAATGGAATCACAGACATTTATTAATATGATATACAAATATGCTGGTTTATTTAGATTATGCAGAAATGTTAAATGTTTGGGGCCGATCAAAGTGACGTTTAAGATGCTAAAATAACTGACAAATAAAGCAAATACTAATGCTTATTAAATAGTTACATTTGTCATTTAAGGCTGAAGATTCGACACAAAATGTATGACACATAAATAATAAGATACATTATGGATCACTCACTGTTCTGTTTTTCTGTCAGTAAAACTTTTCTACAAGTCTGAAAGAATAAAAGGGATCTTCAGGCTTTTGAGACAGGAATCAACACGTGCTGAAGTCTGCGATGTTTGACAAAACAGCACATAGAAGAAATAAATATCAATTCAGAATTATTGAAAAATTGTCGTGAAACACAAAACCTGTCAGTTTATCCTGTAAAGAAATTTAGCATATAGAGGAGCAGCCATGCTGGAGCTCTGAAAATGAAAAAGAGGATCAGTACTGCAGCTGGCTGTTGGGAGGGGAAAGCTTTGGAGAACTCCAGCGTCAAGTCATGAAACCAAAAATACTGCTCTTGGTAGATCTGAGCTACAACCCACAGATGTTAGGTCAGCACCTCAGAGAGACTACTTTTATCTCTGTTCTCATAGCAAATTCTTCACAAGAGCCATGATTTTGCCTCTGAAATTCTGCAAACCCATTTTCCTGCAGAACAGTCCTTACGCTGTGTTCGTTTCCACAGCCATTACAGGCAGTGTGCCCTGTGCTATTTGTGTGACAAAGCACTAACGTGCATCCAAGCAGAGGCTCAGAAAGACTTCTGGCAGGGAAGTGAGGAAACATAAGAAGCCTGATCCTAGGACAGCAGTGCATGGCTCCTGAGCTTAAGAGGGCTAAGCATATTCCCATTTACAGTTCACCCTGTTTATCAGATGCTGGTGGGCAAAAAACACCTGACATGCATTCTCAGGAGATGGTATGACACACTGTCAGGTGAGCTGCATGATTTGAGGTTGTACCTCAAGCAGGACAAATGTTGGCATATGAAGAATTACGTTGCTATCCCACTGGAGACTTACGTTGCTATCCCACTGGAGACTTCCAAACCTTAGGACACACCCGGTTCAGGTCCCTGAGCACCAGCAGGCTCCTCTAAAGTTCCTCTTCACCTACTCTGTAGAAGCACCTAATTGGTCAAAAATTTCCAGCAAACCAACTGGAAAGTTTCTCAACTGTGTGAATATTTTTTTTGCACTATATTGAAAGAAAGGGCTTAAAAAAAAAAAAAAAAGGGAAAAAGCCATAAAATTCACAGTGACTTCTTGTAATGGGAAAAACCTACTGTGACAATCTTAATAAAAAAAGAACCCCATGGCTGTTTTTGTACATGGTATTTCATTGTGAAAATACACATACTTTAAAATATGGAAATTGTTGCAAAGTGAGAGAGAAATAATTTCAGGAAACCCCTGTCGAGTTATTAACAACATATTCCATGGAGAAACACAAAGAAAAATGAAATCTCATAAAATACAAAAGGCCAAAGCTCTGAAAGAACCTTCTGTCTTATAATTAATTTTCTACATTCTGCCTCTGTTCTCAAGCACAGAAAACTCCTTCTAAATTAAATTATCTTCCAATAGAGAAATACATGGAATTATAATGCACAAGAACACATTGCTACTTTAATATTCTACGCTATTTATAAGCCAGCACAAGGCAGTGTTTCACTTTTAAATATTAGCAACCCACATAATTTTAATTTCTTAGGTATTTATCTATGTCAAATTTAGAACATATGAAATTCACCATAACATCCTGAGATATTTTTGCTTAGAAATGTACCACATCAGAGTTCCATTTATGTTGCATTTGCATTTATATCCATTTTAAAGACCCTCGTGTGTGCCAGAATGATTTAAAGTGACCTTGCTGAAAGAAAGTCAGGTCTATATTGTATTTTAAAAAGCTGATTATTCAAAAAGACATTGATGATATAGCAAAGTACACTGTATGACACAGAACTTCAGCTGGCTGATACTGTTGTAATTTCATTTACAGCATTCAAGTTATATGGTTTCTCTCAACTGGGATCTAGCCACGAATATTTTGTTTAATTAGAGAATATATATTTTAAGCAGTAACAGAGGTCTATTGTGTATATTTGGCAAATGTTTCCACACTTCAACCAACTGTGGGAACTGTGAGTTTGGAAGCTAAACATACCAATTATACCCAACCTATATTCATACCCTTCTTTTAAATTTTGCAGGTCTTGATTAAATCATCCTTTGCCTTGGAGATTGTCCAGGTTTATGCCATTGCACCTGAACACAAAGGTGCACAAAGTATTATGAGGCTATATATAATTTATATAAATCAACACTAATTACTATGAAAAGTCTCAGGTAGCTCAATCTTACTTTTTTAATGCCAGACCTGAATTTCTCTGTCACCTGTGAGGATGGAATTGCACCTTGTCAAGACAGCAAACAGTGCTATCTCCCTCTAGATTCTGGACATAGGTCTCAAGGAGAATTTACATGGTTCACAGGCTCGGAACAGATGGTACATTTCATCCCAGTAACAGTAACTCCTGTCACAGATGCCAGATAAAAATGGGGTTTGGATTTTTTAAATTAAAAAGCCTGCGTTATTAAAACCAGCTGTAATCATTTGGGACTGAAGCCCCATTTATGTTTTCATTTGCTGTGCTGAAGCATCAGTTATCCCATTGTGCTCTGTGGAATTACTGTAGGCTTTTATTCTTGTAAATGAGAACAGAATTTCTTTCTTAATCCTGTCTTTGAAACAAAGTGATTACAGCCCAAATTGCCTCTTTGAATGAGACAACTGTATGTCCCCATTTAAACATATTCTATAGGTTTCACAGAATTTATTTTTTTTTGCAAACCTACACTGATTTTACAGGGTTTTAATGTTGATCAAAGGATGAATTAAAAAAAAAAAAAACACCTCCTCTTCAAATCAGAATTTCCTAGTTTTATTCTTTGGTGGATATCCTCTGTAATGACAGTGCCCCTCTGGTTCATATTGTTTCTAATGGTTATGAATAGACACTCCTCAAAACTACTACTTTGAAAAAAATCAATAAGTAAACCTTTGTGCTGAAGCACAGAACTGTACAAAGAAAACAGAACAAAAACAGCTGATGAAAACCATATGTAGTAGCAGGTCTGACTATGTCTTAAAATAAAATTCAGATATAACTTCTGTGAACTAAAGCAGTAAAAGGGGCAAAGATGCACAGCACAATTTCAAAGTGACAACAATCAAAGTTCCTTGGAAAAGGAAGAAAAACATTACCCTTTTTGTACTTGTTATGTAATTGTGCTTGTCCTTGGGCACACTTCACCTGCAATCACACTTTGTGCAGCTTGATGTAGAATTTTTATTACTTTATATTTTTTCATCATCATCACTATTTATTTTTTTAAATATGATGGGGCTTGCCTGCCTTAAAGAGGTTTTTGAAACATCTGTGTGCATGGTGGACATGGCTATAGTCTCATAATCCTCCTCACGGGAGTGGAAGTGACAAAAATGAAAAAAAAACTGCAGGTCCCTTTGGAAGTTCTTATTGAGAAACCCGTAGAAGATGGGATTCACACAGGTGGAGATCATGGCAGTGAGGTGGCAAATCAGGAACAACAGGTTGTGGCTGCAGGTAGCAACAGGCAGAATTTCATGATTCCAATCAAACACGATATTGAAGATGGTGAGAGGCAGCCAGCAAACTGCAAATGCAACCACTATTGATATCAGCATGATGTTGATCCTTTTGGTTTCAGAGGATCTGTACTTACTGTCTCTCATCTTGTCCATCATGTTGTTCCTTTTTTTTAACCGTATGTATATCTGCAGGAAATTCAATAAAGAGAAACACATGAGAGAAATTAACCTACCAGGGTCATTTTTGCAAGAATAAACAAACATCAGGTAGAACGGAGTACATATTGCAAGAGAATTCTATCTTACCTTCAGGTAGCAAATAAATATAAAACAAAGTGGTCCAAAGTACTGAATCACTAAAAGCGTTGTTGTATAAGAAAGCCTGGCAGTGTCCCAGGGGAACAGATCCAAGCACACATATTTGTCCTTATATTCATCAAATGTTACATTTCTGAAGGGCTCGTCTGTTAATACATGGTAGATCAGGAAAGGCAAGGAGGAAGCTGTGGCTAAAATCCATATGGCAGCAATCCCCATGTAGGCATGTCTGTTGTTCGGCCTCCAGCCGCGGGGATTGATGATCAGCTGATGGCGCTCAATAGCAATGAGGACTAAAGAAAAGACCGAGACAGTGATGGAGGCACATTGCACAAAAGGGTTCAACTTGCACATGGCCTCCCCAAAAATCCAGTGGTCCATTAAAGTGTACACGAAGGTAAAAGGAAGACACATGATGGTCACTAGGAGATCAGAAAACGACAGGTTGACAATGAGGATGTTGGTAACATTGCGCATCTCCTTTTGTTTTAAAATAATGACAATCAAAGCCAGATTCCCAGAGACTCCCAGAATTATCACAGTCCCATAAGCCAAGGCTAAAGTGAAGACCATGGCCAAAGGCACATGGCAATCTTCGTCATCAAACTGCAAGATCTGCGAGTTCATCTCCGAAAAATTCAGGTGACCGGAAATATTTCCCAGCGGGGCGACAACCGAGGTATTCATGTTGCTCCCAACTCGCCGCCGACCTTCGGCGCCGCCGCCGCGTTCATCCAGACCGCTCCGAGCTCAGAGCGCGCCCATCAGCCCCGCAGCGGAGCCCGGGCCGAGCCCGCTCCTCGGGGCCGCATCTCCCCCGCAGCACCTGGGGAGAAGGGAAGCAGCAGCGCCGGTCACCGCCCCGGCCGGAGCGGCGCGCCCGTGTCCCGCGGCAGCGGGGCCGCCCCCGCCGCTCCGCGGGGCCGCGCAGGGATGCAGCGGGCCCGACCGAGCCTCGCAGGACGGCCAGCGGGGACACGAGCCCTGCCCGGCCCGTCGCACCAAAGAGCGAGCCGGGAAGCAGTTTCACCCTTCCACCAGCGCAGCCTCCACTTTATGTTTTACATCTCCTTTTCGCAAGTTTAATCTGCAAACGTCTGCTTTCTTGAACTGCTCTAAGTGAAATTATATCCAAGCATCACATGAGGAGGAGGGGAAAGCCCATCTGACTAATGTGACGGGTGGAAAAATGATTCAGTTGCTGCTTTTTTTTTCCAAAACACATACACTTGATGTTGAGCAACCAAGTGCTCTCAACAGCACTGGCACTGAGTCAAAGGTAAATCAGGAACTCTGAACACTTTAATCTTAACTAGCAGGGCTGTGCAGCAAAGAAAGAAGAATATAAGACAAAAGACAAAACTTGGCAAGTTTTAAACACTGCAGAAAATATCTTTAACCATGCAAGGGAAATAGGGATGCTTAAATAACCACCCCTTTGCAAGGCCTCGGATTCTAAAAATGTGAAAATCGAGCATATGTGTTCAGAAGGCAAGTTAAAAAATAAAATCAAATTAATTGATAAACCATTAAAAAATATTAATTGATTACCTGACACACCTTTACTTCAACTTGCCATTAGTGCCATTGAATCTGGGCATCATTAGTGGCACTACATTCCACACTGAATTTAGAACTTTCTCTCTGCCCACTCCTGTGAGCTAAATTTATCACTCACTTAACCTTAGGTTATGGTAATGAAATTAATGCCACTTAAAATTCACGCAAGTGGGTTTCAAACACGACTTCATATGGCATTTATCAGAAAAGCTGTAAAAACATTGCCCGCTAAAATGTACTTCAATAAAAGTTACCCTGAATAGGTGAGCTTTTGTTCTTAAATGATACTCGATATAAATCTCTGTACTATGTAAGTCTCTGAAGAAGAATTGTCTTTGTCCCTTGCTGACAGGCACATGCTGGGCACCAGAGATGGGGCTGCCTCCTCCCTAGGGCAGAGCCAGTGTGTGAGGGCTGGGCTTGCAGCTGCAGCTCCTCCTGAGGGTCAGCCAAAGGATGACCATGGCAATGCCACGCCTTCTCACTGCTGCCAGGAGCTAACCCCTGCTGAACCTCTTCTGGCTCTTTCAATCAACACAAGGCTACATGAAACTGACAGGCAATGTAGCTTGCATCTGAGTGAAATTTTACTGTGAGAGTTAACAGCAGTGATTTCAGACAAAAGGCTTCTCTATCTGACTGCTCTGATTTTCAAGCTATCTAGGTATGCACCTGAGTATTATCTCTCTGAGCTTCTGCCTCTGCTAACTAAATTTATCAGATCTCCTAGTCCACCAAATCTGTTTTAGGGTCTAATAAAGAAATTTCCACCCCCAGGATCTCTTGAAGCATCACTTCTGTCACAGCCAGAAGTAGGTGCTTTACCCAAATGAAAAGTGTATGGCTGATGTGAAGAGCCAGAGCTCCTTAATTCTCACAGTGTAACTTTATCATAGTCTGAAAAATCAACATCTAGATTTAACGATGAACTCCACCATCACTTGTATAGCATGAGATGGGCACTCTAGCCCTGTGACTTGATAGAATGATGGCAAGAGCAGGCAAGGAGCTGTGTCCTGCAAGGAGGGAACTGGGCAAATTCTTTCACCAGCCAGGACCAAACTGCCCCCAGCAATAGGGTATCCAGGTATCATACGCTTGATTTTTCTACTCTCTTAGTTGAGCTCTGCTCTTGTTTATTTATTAAATATCAAACTCCAAACCATAAAATGCTACTGCTCCTTCTCCCCTCATCTTTCCCATAGCAGAGATGCAACCTCTCTGATGTGTGCAAGAGGGTGTCTAGGAACCAGCCCACTGCCATCAAGTGATGAGGAGTCCTTCTTTCCTGTCCTTCTGCAAAATGGACCAGCCAACAGAGGGGCATTAAGTTCAATCTCCCAGACAGCTGCACTGCTCCTTTTCTCCTAAACCCCCAGCTCTGAAGTCAGGAAGGAGATCCCTCCCCACTGAGTGATGGCTTAGCATGGGGAAAGCCCATAGCTCTGCAGACCCTTCTGGGTGATTGCAGTCTCCTCTACCATGCACACCCTCCCTCTGTGAGAGATTTTGGTCTAAAGTTTATCACCAGCAGACAAATACTATACTGTGAGGTGAATAGAAATGCACAGTAAAACTATCAGAGCTGTTCAAAAGCAAAACCAAAATGCTGTCAGCCCAAGCTGAAGGCTCACCCAGCTGCACGAAAGTTCTACCTGGAGCCTAATACCCCCTTAGATTTTGTCACTTGCAGCTAAAACAGCAAGCAAACATCAGCCTAACTGGCACACATCTACCCAGAGTCATGGAAAAGCAACCACAGGGGAAACTCACCTTGCAACTGCTCTGCCTGTCTTTGGTCTGCTCAGAGGATGGAGAAGGAGCAGGGAAAGGAGAAGGATCCTTTGGTATTTCTCCAGTCAGATCCTAAAGATTGGTGAGGAAGGCTGGAGACTCCCCCTTAAAGCTGAACTCCACCTTACCCCAGTATCGCATGATGGTGCTCTACGGAGTAGATCCTGAAAACCACACTGCAAGCACATCACCTTTAAACTGCACATCTGGGGGTGGGTTGCCTAGTAATTCCGAAAGAAATGCAATTAAATATTGAAACAAAAGAGGGGGGCTGTGGGCAGAGCGCAAGGAAAAGCTCAGGAAGGGAGACAGTTTCAAATCGGTCTGCCTGTTTCATTTTGTCTGCAAGTTATTGCCATCTTGTGGCCAAGCTAAAGATGGGAAAAGAAGCTGTTAGGGGACGAGGAAGCGATTTTCAGCATAACGAACAAGTTACAAAGTTTGGGTTTGGCTTTTTAAACCAGTACAGCTAGCTTCTGGTCTGCATTTATCGTGAATAGCCATGACAGGACTAATAAGAAATGTCAAGTTCCTGAAACATCTTGCTGTCTCACTCACAAAAAGCCATGTAAACTCAGGTCTCTTATTCTGAACTGGGCTTAGAAACGTATTTACTTCAATGGGCATAAAAGACAGAGTAAATTGGGAAGTCTGCAAGAAGTTATCCAGATAAATGTAAAGCAAGACTTTGAAAATGCCTTGACACAACCTGTAGACTGTAATAGGAGTTTGTATTTCTTGGAAAACAGAAGTTCCCTAATTTGTCCAAGATCCCAGATTGAATTTTCCTGTGTAAGGAGTTGCATGCTCTCACATTCTTGCACTCAGATATGCATCTATTATATAGCAACACTTGTGTCAAGAATAACTCTCAATTGAGAAACCAGGTTAATTATAGATAAATTAGTTGCACAGAATCAATGAATGTGACATTTTTTTTGCAGAAGAAGCTGTTCAGGAAGATTTCAGAACCCAGAATAAGGGTGATGTTTGCACTGTATTTACAGGAGCTTGGCTCAACTGCATTGTAATTGCAGTCCTTGATGTAAGAAAGACAACTGCAGGCACACTGTGAGGCTGCTATAAACCAGTAGTCGTGGTGCTGCTGACATTTTAAGAGCAGCAGCCAGAAGGAAAGTTCAGGCTGTATATAATGCCTCTCAAGAACCTCAGTCCTATGTAGGTCATTAACATGCGTGCCTTTGAGCAGAGCAAAAGTAGGTATGCTCAGGCAGGAATCCAAGCTGAAGGTCTCATAAAGAGCATATTTGTGTCTGAAGCAGTGACATTCACATGTACATGTACCACTGAGACCCCTCTTTGCTTTGGATGTGGAATGATATATCCACACTGTCCAATAAAGGTATTTTTAAGGGCAATAGATATATTGCTAGGCAGAGAAAAAGCCTTTTTTTTTTTTAATGCCAGAATGTTCCCACTACTTCCCTGTAATGTTCTTACCCATATGGTCAACATGGCTATTTAAAAATTAAAATAAGCATTCTGTGATACAAAATTGCAAATTCTGTGATACAAAATTGTTGCACTCTGCTAACAGGTATCCAAGGCAGAGATACATTTTTAAGACCAATTCAGAATAAAAGACCTTTACATAGCAAGCTAGGGAGCTGCAGGGGTAGCTTTTGTGAGAAGAGTACACCCACGTTGACCAGAACCATTTCCAAAATGCACCCACAGCTGACCAGAGAAGAGATCCCACTGCACCACTGCCTGTGGTGAGAACCATGGTGACACAAGGTGCTCCCCAGCAGCCCATGCAGGACTATGGTAGGAGCAGATATCCATGCTGTGGTCCCTGGAGAGGAATCCACACAGGAGCAGTCTGTTCCTGGAGGACTGAAACCCATGGGACAGACCCATACTGGAGCAGGGGAACATCATGAGGAGGGAGGAGCAGAGAGAAAAAGGGTGATGAATTAACCAGAACTGCCATTCCCTATCCCACTGCACTACTCAGAGGGGTGGGAATATAGAGCAGTTGGAAGACAAGAGTGATGTTGAGCTTAGGAAGACAGGGATGTAAGAGTTGTGAATTTTACCTTTGTTTCTCACCATCCTATTCTAGATTTAGATTTAAAGAATGTACCACAGAGCCATTCATTTACTAAATGCCAATTTTTCACAAGTATCTGAATTTTCAGATGCATATTCTTTTCTTTCTCCTCCATTTTGTCATTAGTCATGAGGGTATCCATTTCATCAGCAAATGAAAAGATTCATAATACTTCACTTTTTAATGGTTAATACACATTTGAATTTCAAACATTGCATAAACATGGGCAAAGCAAACCTTGCAAAGCCTCTGTTATACCATGTAAATATAATAATTACCTATAAAAGATCAAAAATAGAGCCTACATATCACCATTGTCTTGAGCTCACATTGATAACAACAAATATCCACAGGATTATTCACACTGCAGTCAGATGCAAGGTCAAGCTTTTAACAGTGTAGTGGAGCACTGGAAAGACTGCTTCAGTCCCTGAGTCTTTCAAACACATGTGCTACATACAAGTGTATGTACATAAATACACACACACACACACATATCTATATGCACACGTGCTATAACCCCAGCCTTGCTGCAAGCTTTCTACTTCACCATACCAGTGTGAAGTATTGTGTGTTGTGTGTTCACCTCAGATGACTCAGTTGGAGCTATATCGGTCTTCTCTGAAGCATTTCACATACGTGTGAGCACTAATACATGTGAACAATAAAAAAATAACCACTCTAACAAACAGATGCTGACTCTTCAAGCTTTCCATTATAACTGTATAAAATACATTTTGTGTGTCACATATATGTTGGAACTCATCCCCATATGGGCCACCAATTGTTGGTGTCAGCGCTTGGCACCAAGCGATGGTAGATGGGAACTGACTGCCACCATTAGTTTACTGTAAGACTTTCATACCTTCTCTCTGTGAGTTCTCATGAGCAGGTCCTCACAACACTGACTCCTTTTCTTTTTCTTCCACACAGCTGGCTGACTTTTTCCTGTCCCTATCACAACTGCCTGACCCTAGCTATCCCTAGTGGCACATACTAACGCTGACTGTCCCTAACACAAACAGCTAACCCTTGCTCCTTGCAGCAGCAAAGCCAACTAACTCCAACCCTCCTCTCAACTCTCTGAGTCACTCTTTTATAGCACCCATCCTTATTGGACACACCTGTGCCCTGTTAAAGGCAAGGCTGTTCCTACTCTTTGGTAATTAGTACAGCTGCAACTCCTCAGGGGTGAGATTGCTTTCAGCACTACCTCTATTCTCTCACAATCCATCCTCCCACAGATAATGCTCCGTAGGAAAATCAGGCATTAACAGCTCCTGGCTAGTCTGTGCATCTCCAGCCTCAACACCAAGCTGATGGTCTCTATCTGGAGCTCCAAGCTCACAAAGATGTCAAATAATTACTCATAACTCTTATTTTATTGATGATTACTGTCAGGATGTGAGAACACTGGAGTAGTAAGACAACTATTTTGTTAAAGATTATCCTCTTCCAGGGAATACATTTTTCAGTACATCAAAGGCACCCTGAATTGGAGGACCTGGTGTGCATGTGTTTGTTTGTGTAAAGGCATGACATTGCAAAAAAAAAAAGTACAATAAACAGAACGCAAGTATTTAAATTAAGGAAATAGAACAGCCTGAGTAAAAGAATACAGAAATGCTTTGAAGCAAAAGCATTGAGAAGGGATTGAGATGTTTTTTTAAAAAACATATAGAAAAAAATAGATTAAGATGTAAATCCATTAAAATTCTTTCTCACTGAAAAACTCAAAAATAGAAAAGATTTCATAAAATGAGGCTGTCACTTTTATTGCAATGCATCTTTATGTGTTCAGGCAATGCAATCCCTCCCTAAAATGTAAAATCCAGTAAATGCAAGAACACCATGAAGGTAATTTGTATCTTCTGTTCTGTATAAAACAATCTGAAGTCACCACTATGGAAATAAATGGAAACACTCTCTGAAGGTTTTTTTTCACTTTATTTTTAATTATTTTTATATTCTAATAATGAACATCAGTGCCATTGAAATACTTGCATTTCACACTACTCTGTTCAAAGATAAAGGAGCTCATGGTCCTTGGGGCAAAAATCTGTCATCAGTAGACTAAATAGGCCTTTTCTGTTGAGTGTAATTTGAATTGCAGCAAATTCTTTCTTTGGCTAAGAACATGTTTATTCTGACATAACTGCATCTGACACCAAACATAACAATACTTCAACTGCTAATGTCACAAACCCCAAAAAGCTGCATGAATGATTATGTGGTTCATCTCTGCTGACAGTCTTGCTGCTTACAGATCCATTTTCAACAATACAACCAAGCTGACTAATGCAAATCTACCCTGATCACATGAAATATTGCTTAAAGGCTGCTTGAGCTATAACCTAAATTATGTCCACCTGGCTAAAATACTTGTTTTCATGTTTTCTGTTATGGGCACCTCACTATGTGCATTCAGGACTCAAACTCCTATACATTCATACACAAGCTCTCATCTGGTTTCAGATGAAGCAGAAATAGGCCCCACACATGAACATCCAGACAGGTCAATATGTATAACACCAGTCAAAAAAATGTGATGACAAATTAGGAAATAAAACTAATTACAGGCTCCCCCTTGAAAGTATTTTATTAGCTAACCATCAGGTGTCCTGTCTTTCAATGCAAAGACATCTCAACCATGACCACCTTCTCAGATATCCAAGGCTTGCTGCTATATGCAAGCTAAGAATCTGTGGAAGGGATGGACCATACAGAAGCCAGACATTAGTGGTATTTTTAATAGTGTTTTGTTAGAATTTTTCTGGGCATGAAGTGGTTGGATGAAGAATTTTAAACAACACAAATGCTTTATATGTATATGTATCTCACAAAAATCTCTCAAATTCTGTAGCAGCTATGTAGTACCTCCCGCACTGTTTTGCCCATGGACAGGTGTGACATGGTAGCAGACTTTACAATAACATTTGTCTCATGGCAAATTTTGATGATTGACTGCATGCTGTGGAATTGGATATTAGGTGCTTTAGACCTTTGGTTTTGTGGCATTTATCAGTTCTTATGAATTTCCATTAGAGCTTTGAGTCTTCCTATCTTTCACAGTTTGCCTTTAGAGGTAGAATTTTCTAAGCTATTGGAATGATTCTCCCAAAAGAAAGATATATTTCGGACTGCAGTGAGAAACATGACAAAACTAACTTGAATTCATATAGACACTGAGTTTTCTCCTGTATTTTATGTTGTATTCTTACGACTCAGGAATCCCAGCCTTCTCTCTCTGATGCACCATTTTTTTTTCCCCAGCGCCCCAGAGGAGGTATTTTTTATCATCACCATCTCTTACTTCCTCAAGGACTCCTCTGTGGTTTCAACAATCCTATAGTAGCTGGTTTCTAGGGAACTTGTATTAAGATGTGCTGTATTGATTTCATTACTCAGTAGTATTACTGGCAAGACAGATGTACACAAACAGTGGAAAGGAAAAAAGTATAGTAATTGTCTGAATAGTAATTGTCTCTGATGTGTGCAAGTATCAGAGATGAAAAGTACAGATACAGTTGAGGAAAGCATGGTGTTATTTACAGGTCTGTGGGGAACAAAACAAATAATCTCACACCTACCAATACATTACTGGCTGATGAACCCTTTTGAAATAAGACAATCAACAAAAAAATAAAAAGTAGAATATTTTATTCTTAGAGAGAATTTCTTTGAGGAAGGAATACTTCTCTTACTGACTACTCCAGATAAGAAGCACATATATTCTGGATGCTCCTTGGGAAACTGTACTAGGTGACCTTAGAAATGGCTTAACATGATGGTAGGCTGTTTGTATCTTTATGAAGGTACAGTGGCATCCCACATAAATCACACTTGTGCAATATAAGAAACTTTAATTTCCCACTGGGCTCTGCCAGCAAATTTAGACTACTTTTAAAACACACTATCAGTCTGTTGTAGCCAGCAGTTTCCATAGAAAGGTGAAGTCTTTAAAACTTCTCTTTTTCCAGGAAAGACCTTCCGCTTCAAGCAGTGAGGCCAGCAATGTGGGAAGCTCTTCTAGAACAAGAGAAGTAGGGAAAATGTTAATCATGCCCATTGTGTGTTAGAGCTATAGTGGGCTTCTATCATAGGTCAAAAATTTGCGTGAAAGTCTTCAGAACCATCAGTGTTAGGTGGGAAGATGGTCAAAAATGCTAAGAACAGCTGCTCAGGCCTAAAAAGGATTAATTCTGTTCTCCATTGTGACTAACAGGAGAGTTGTGTTAATACGATGAAGTGGATTGGCACGTCACTTCCACCTGGCAGCTCCCTGTGCTCCACTTGCACATGCAGTGATTCACCAGCAGTGGGTGGTGAATTATGCAGCAGGCAAAAGAAGATGGGATGAAATCTTCAAAAGATAGGATGAAATCTTCTCTGCCATCCTGAGCTCATCTGCTGAAGATTAAGATTATTTGTTCCTGGATGGCTCAATGAGTATTTTCACAATAGCCAAGTTAAGTAAGGAACGTACCTGGATTTTTCAAAGGTTATTTTACAATATGACTGATCCAGTTGTTTTATCTTTGTGTGGTACAGTCTTTCACAGGCTAATTATACGGACATCTTTTCTGCAGTGCTGTGTTAGTATCAACTGTCAAAGTAGCACCTTGGCAAATGGGAAGTCATTACATTTCTGTGTCAGATTCTGCCACTTGTGCACCCAGGGATCTGTATGTCACTGAGTTCTGCCGTAGCTCTGTAATAGGACTATGATAGAAGATAACAGCTGGTAAGAGTAGCAGAGTTCATCTTTTCATGCTTTGTACTGTGACATACCCAACAATTTCTAGGCTTTAAATATTGCTCACATAAGAAAATGCCCTGCTTTCTCACTGATTGTTCAGATAAAATTAAAACCACCCTTCAGATATTTTGCTCTGTAAGAATTGAACTCAGCTCAGCGAGGAAAACTGTTTGGGGGGAAAACCATCATCTTCCACCTGTTCCAAAATAAAAATTAAAGGGTATTTGAGCAGCAGGGATAAAAACCTGCGGAGCTCTGCTCCAGCCGAAGCAAGGGGAGCGTTCTGTAATTGCCTGTCTGTGCTCGCACCTCGCTATGTCCCGAGACTCGCAGCGCGTTTCACCTTTGCAAAACGCCGCGCCCTGTGTGCCGGCTGAGACACTGAGAGCATCCCCCAAGCACCGGCGAGCGCGGGGTGCATTTACCGTCTCGCTGTATTTCCATGGAAACTCTGATTGTCACACCGTGCAGCGCTGAAATACCGGGCTCCATCCAGGGCTGCCTGGAGCGGCCTCCCGAAATGCGCCCGCGCTGCAGCCCCAGCCCCAGCCCGCTCAGCCGAGCGGCGGCACCGCCGGGGCCCGGCCCTCGGCCGCGGGCGAGCCCCGGGGCGCCGCGGCACCGCAGCAGATGCGCCGCCAGCGCCGGGGGCTGCGCGCCCCCCTCCGCTTCCTCCGAGGCGCGCTCCGCCCGCCCGTGCCGGAGCCGTGAGTGCGGAGCGGAGCCGCCGCCTGGCCGCGCCCGCGCCGCCCCCGCGGCCCCTCCTCGCCGCGGGGCGCCCGCAGCGGGACAGCGCGCAGGTAACGCGGGGCGGGCGCGGAGCCGCCGCGGCGGGCTCGGCTCGGCTCGGCTCGGCTCGGCTCGGCTCAGCTCAGCTCAGCTCAGCTCAGGTCGGTTCTGCTCAGCTCGCCCCAGCTCAGCTCCCCTCCCCGCGGGGCGGCCGCGCAAGTTTGCGCGGGGCCCCGCCCTGGCCCCAAGCGCGGGGATGGGGGAGCGCATCAGCCCTTGGGGTGGCGGTGTCGCGGCGGCCGCGGGGCGCCCGGGGCTCGGGCTGAGAACGGGCGCGGGGTTTCGGACGCGGAGCGGCGCAGAGTGCTTCCCAAGGGAGGCACGGAAGGGCAAAAATAACAGTCGTTCCCGTTTTTGGGGTGGTTTGGTGCCGTTGCGAGCCAGGAGTTGCTGTGTTCCCTGGAAAAAAAATGTAGCCAGGCGCTTCAAGTTTTCTCTTCTGGCCAGCGAATAGCCCATTATGTCCCATAGCATTTCCTTGGAGCTGGACATACAATCTTATTAGTTGGCTTTGGCATAATTTCGGAAGTTGTATTCTTGTTTTCTGAGATAATGTTGCAGTTCTTTTGGTGATTCAGAGAAATAGGCATACCATTAATAAGTACAAAAATTATTTTTTTTTTACTTCTGAAGTAATTCAATCTGTTGGATTCTTCCAGGTTCTCAGGCTAGTTTTTGCTGTTGCACATTATGAACAAGGACATGAGAATCAGCAGCTTTTTATCCTTAGCTTGTGTAGTGAATGCAACACTCCAGTGGTTTCAGATTTTGTCTCAGATGTTATCTCCGTCTGTATTGATGTCAGGGCATTATTTCTCAGGCTGTAACAACACAGCTCAGTGCTTTCCTAAAGCTTTGGTGGTCGTGCAGTAACAACCACTCATATTAAGTATTTACCTCTGTGTAGATGCTTAAAAACCTTCTCTGACTTTTTTTGTGCAGTCTTCATATTTCTCCACTATTATGCGGGCAGAAAGATTAGAAAGATTGTACTTCTTACAATTTTACACAATGTGCTTCTTCCTCCCTGTATGTTTTCACCAGGGGTTGGGGCGGGGGGGGGGGGGGGGGTGTTTTTTGGGATTTTTTGTGGGGTTTTTTTGGCTGGTTTTTTTTTCTTCTTCTTCTTTTAGCATAGAGAAAAGTCATCTAAGACTTTTAAATTGTTCACAGCTATAAAGGTTAATTGCCCTGTTGCAGGGATTAAATTGACTGGACTGTACAAGGACCAGCCAGACAGAAATAACTTAATAGGTATTAATATTGTGGAATATTAGCTCTTATCCATGAATAAACCTTAATATAAGTATCTCATCTAATTGAAGGAACATTTCTGGAAAAAAAACAATTACCTTTAGAGGATGATGGTTGCCTGCCTAACTTTGGTGTTCTTGAAAATTTCCTTGGATCCTGCCACAAAACTACAATCTCTACTGCCTTGTGCTGCCTAGCCTCCTGCCTCGAGCATTCCACTGAAACTAGAGGAGACCTAGGCAAGCCCACACGGAGCTCATGGGTATGAGCTCCCACAGGTGTAGCCGAGCACAGTCAGGAATGTGCATTGTGCAGGCCAGCATTACAGAACGGGGACCTCGTTTGCTTCACTGATAGATGCAGGAGGTGAAAGTGATCCAACGTTTAGAGATGACAGCTAGAAAACCTCCAGCAGGTACCTTCAGATTAAGTAAATCTGAGTTTTAAGAAGAGGTGCAAGACCACCTTGGCACTATCATGCATTTAGTTTAGAAATACACTTCAAATATGAGATGAATGTTTTGAAAAGAGGCTGTTATCTAATTCTGTTTCCCACAATGGGATTTTCAGGAATTTCCATTTTCCTGAAAGTTACAGCCATGTGCTGCACCAGGATTGACCAACTAATATGAGCGAGGGTGAGCAAATCTCTGAGAATAGAAGCAGCTGTTAAAACAAAGCAGGAACATAAATGCCAATGAAAGCACAGAACCCTGTGAAATCAGTGGCAGGCTAAAATGAGTTTGGGGACTAGGGATCAATAATATGGGAAAAAAACTTCTGTTTGTATCATTACAGCTGCTTACACTCAGACTGACAGCAACCGATTTCTTTTTGAGCAGGAGAAAATGCTCAGAGAACAAGAGATCTACCTGGCATGTTTTGAAATTAGGGGGGAAAGCCTGCTTTCTTTTTACACATCCAAAATGAAAATAAAATTCTCTTTGTGCATTTTGCAAAGGGAGCTTGTGTCAGCACAGTAGTTGTCTGTTGAAACCAGCAGATTAAAATGTTATTCCTTCCCTCTCTGTCTTGCTGTCACTCTGAAACTATAGGAAGATGGTGCAGAAGGGGTTTCTGTGCTCCACAGACTTTATTGGTGCCCTGGGTGTTCACCCAGGGTCTGAAGAGATCATGGTGTGACTTCTTCCAGTGCTCCTTCCTCATAGAAATTAGGACATGTGGTAGGGAAGAGCTCATCTCTCACCTGAGTCAGAAGGCAGCTATAGCACAGAAGGAATGGAGCTGGCAAGCCCATGCTAGGCTTCAGAGGCATTCCTGCTAAACTTCTTCAGTACTGATGCATCTCAACAAATATGTCTGCTTCAGGAAATGAGCACATTTGCTTTTTGTTTTTAAAGACACAATTTGTATTAAAAACACAATGAACCCTTCTGCTAAATCCATATTGCAAGAGCTTTATGTGGAAGTGTAGGAATCCACAGAACCTGGCAATAATCTTACACTTAAACCTTCAAGAAAAATGTAGTAAACATTAATTTATTACATATGTTACAACATAACACTACATAAAATTTTGCTCCTTGGTCTTATTCTTAGCATTATATTACCTTATCCAGGGGAAAGGTTATGCAGAAAAAGTTATGTAGTGTTACATTTAGGAAATAGAAAGTAATTTCATCAAATTTGGGAAGTCACTGTGTTGACTTATACCATTTTCAGTTGGTTACTAAAAACTCAGGAATTAGCTCCAAAAAATAAGTAGAAGTCTATTTACTTCATGAGCTAAGAGTTGCATAAATAGAAGCCTATCAAAATGAAAACTTCTGATTGTATCAATATAGAAACAGAGAGATTAGATCACGTATAGGTCTCTAGTCTGCTCCTTTAAACTTAATCTAGAGGCAAATATAGTCTCAGATAGCACTGCTTGTCTATTATATGGTTTTCCACCATTTCATTAAAGACTAGAAGAAACTGAAGAGAAATAATATGCATTAATGCCTCTCTGCTCATATGCACACAATTATAATATTCATGTTATGTAATTTCATGTATTCAGTTCTTAATTCTGTTTTAGCTGATATATATATATATATATTTCTACTCTTACTTGGAGGACCTTCACATCACAATAGAGTTAGTGAACATTCTCAGGTTGTTTTATAGTTTGAGCTTCCCTTTGGCTCAAACCGTAACAATAGGAACACACATATGAAGGAAGATGCACATCTGCATGTGTGAAGGAAGGAGCACATCTGCATGTGTGAAAGCAACCAAATAATTGCACTTTGAAAATGTCAGCATGTTACAGCTCACTGAAGATTGCTACAGTCTTGAAGAGCCCTGTCTTTTTTAGGTGACAGATACAGCCTTCTGCTCTATTTACATAAGCTTTGGGTTTGTAGATCTTTTTTGTTTTCTCTTATGTAAGATTTCTAAACATTAAGCATTTTTGCACAGGGCATTGGCACTCTGGAGAATTTTGACTTTGAAACTCTAGTACATGCAAGTGCTTAAGATAAATGGAGGTTTGAACTGAACTGTCTGTTTGTTCTAAAATGAAGACTAATATATGAAGATTCAGTAGGCAGAATAACTTTGTGCTGAGCTAGGTTTAACACTAGATGATTCTGTGCTGAATAAGTAGCAGTTCACTGAATTTTCAAATGGCTGTGTAGAGTTTGCTTCCAGTTAACACTGTCCTCTCTATATTACATGCAATTACTTTAGGTATTTTTTAGTTTTCCTTTCTGCTTGAGCAGTTAAACTATATTCAGCACTTAGTATGAGATGTTTTCTATACACACATGAAGAATTCCTTATTGGATACTGACAGTGGATTTCCTGATCTTTTTTGAAAGCTCTCACCTATTTTGTGTTAGTTGTCTACTAGCAAGATAAGAAATACTACTGCAGTTGTTAGCATTTTCAGGTGCCTTCTTTATAATTTGCAATGATGTAATGATTATCCATCTGCCCAGATGGTGACTGTAATTTCCTTAGTCATATCAATGGGCTGTTATTCACATGAGTAATCTCACCGACTCGAGGTGTATTGCTTTTGTAGCTAACTGTTCCCTCATGGAAAGCCTGCTAATATGTTCTGCTGCAAAATACAGTTAAAAGGCAGCATCATAATGCAGACCTGTAACTTGCTGTTCTCCCACGTGAGCATCTAGGTAGGAGGCCTAAGAGTGCTGAACACCAAATGATAAAGCCTACTTAGCTAATTCATGTTGACCTGAAGTTATGCAGGATCTGCCTCACAGTAGAACTAACATCAATAGTAATTTATTTGCATTGAGGTAATACAAGGTAAATTTATGTATTTTTACATTCTGATTAACAGCAATATCATAATTTCTTCAGATGCTAATTAATGCCTTTCTTGTTCTAAGCAGGACTGTAAAATGGATTTAGGATTCAAAGACCATAACAACAGCACACATACCAAGAACACCTCTGCTGCAACAAAGAATTTTTCTGCCTGGGAAGACTATAAGAGTAGTGTTGATGACATGCAGTACTTTCTTATTGGGCTGTACACACTTATAAGTCTGGCTGGCTTTGTGGGAAATCTGCTTATACTAATGGCCCTATTAAAGGGCAAGCAGAAGACAGTAATAAACATTCTCATTGGAAACTTGGCCTTTTCTGACATCTTGGTTGTGCTGTTTTGTTCACCTTTCACGCTGACATCCGTCCTGCTTGACCAATGGATGTTTGGCAGTGTCATGTGCCATGTAATGCCCTTCCTCCAGTGTGCCTCAGTCCTAGTTTCAACTTTGATGTTAATATCTATTGCTGCAGTCAGGTACCGTATGATAAAGTATCCCCTCTCCAGCAATCTCACAGCAAAACAAGGCTATTTCTTAATAGTTATCATTTGGGCCTTTGGCTTCACAATTTGCTCCCCTCTGCCAGTTTTCCATAAAACTGTGGACCTCAGCAAAACTCTGAATTTAGAGGGACTGGAGAACAGGCTGCTGTGCATTGAGTCATGGCCTTCTGATTCCTACAGGATCGCCTTCACGATAGCCTTGCTGTTCATGCAGTACATCCTGCCGCTGGCGTGCCTGACCGCCAGTCACACCAGTGTCTGCAGGAGCATAGGTGCTAGGCTGTCAAACAAGGAAAACAAGTTTGAAGAAAAGGAGATGATAAACCTAACTCTTCATCCCTCTAAGAGCACTGGCACACAGGTTCAACCCTCCAGATATTCCAGGTGGAGCTGTGCCTTTGGCAGAAGGCATCACAGAAGATACAGTAGAAAGACGTCAAGTGTGATGCCAGCTATTTCAAGGCATCATCAGGATACTCATTCCAGAGATCTCCCAGAAACCTCTGACACAGAAAAAAGCCAGCTCTTTTCCTCCAGTAAATTCATCCCTGGGATCCCTATCTGTTTTGAAATGAAACCAGAAGAAAATACAGAGATCCAGAACATGATTACAGTATCCCAGTCCATCATCAGAATTAAGACAAGATCGAGGAGGGTTTTTTGCAGACTGACAGTGCTAATACTAGTTTTTGGCTTCAGCTGGATGCCTCTTCACCTTTTCCACATTGTCACAGATTTTAATGCTACTCTTATTTCCAACAGGCACTTTAAATTAGTATATTGCATATGCCATTTGTTGGGTATGATGTCCTGCTGCTTGAATCCCATCCTCTATGGGTTTCTTAACAACAGCATAAAAGCTGATTTAATGTCCCTTATTCCATGCTGCCAAATACCATGATTTTATGTGCCCCAAGATAAAGTAAAACAAACAAATATGGTTTTCAAGCCTAGTGGCGTGTGTAGCTGTAAAAGGTAAATTAGTTTAGTTTAGTTTATGTGACTTGTTTGTGATTAGCAGCATTTTTTTGTGGATGGAAAGTTCTATGGCTGCATGTATTTCTTGCATTGGGCAGAAATATATGCATATATTATAATATTCTTTTATCTGTTACATGTAGGAAATCATGCCCAGTATACAAAACCAGAATACCATTTTCATTACCCAAATTGTTGGCAACCTGTACTTTGAAATTATACAGAATATATAATGAGTAATAAATGTGAGACAGACTACTTAGATATATCAGTATTAACTGTCATAAAACTATAATAAAATACATATCATTTACTAAATAATTATTGTTGAGATTATTTCAGTGCCAACTTTGACTGTTTTGAATATAATTAAATCTCTCTTTCTGGATGTTATTAGGAAAATATTTTTCCTTAGCTCTTTGAGTCATAGTTTGCAATATCTTTGCAAGATGGTTTGCTGCTTATTCCTAGGTTGCCTTATTCCTAGGTTCCCTGGAACAGGTTGGAGGGTCGTTGTTCTTGCCTTGATTCTTTCCATCTCACTTTATTTATCCAATACAACCTATCTCTGATTTCCTCAGCCAATTTTCACTCTGGTTTGTCATTTTATGTAATTTTCATCCAGCCTGAATTTGTCTATAGTTATGTCTTTATTCTCTTTATGACACCCCTGAACATACCATACATTTTTGACCAGAGTAAGCCTTCGTTATCTAAGCAAATGATAGCGGAAAGAAAAAGAAAATGGAAAGACATCAGGAATTTTCTCTTCCTTTACCAAAATGCAAAAGCTTACTGCACTTCATTTTAACTCATCCGCTTGCTTTGGAAAGGTATAACAGCTTTCAAATACACATCTGCATGTGTGCCTTGACAGATGCGGAGGGAGAAGCAGAGCAGATTAATTTTCAATTGAACAAAGGCAAGTGTGGGGTCCTGCCCCTGGGGAGGAATAACCTGTCCCTGCACTAGGACAGGCTGGGGTGACCTGCTGAAAGCAGCTCTGCAGAGAAGGGCCTGGGGGTCCTGGTGGACACCCAGCTGTCCACGAGCCAGCAGTGTCCTTGTGGCCAAGAGGCCAACAGCATCCTGGAGTGCATTAGGAAGAACATTCCAGGTGGTCAAGGGAGGTCTTCCTGCCCCTCTGCTCAGCTCTGGTGAGGCCACATCCGGAGTGCTGTGTCCAGTTCTGGGCTCCTGAGGACAAGAGAGATACGGAGTGTGTGGAATGGATCCAGTGGAGCACAACAAAAATGATGATCAGACTGGAGCATCTCTCTTACGAGAACAGGCTGAGGTGGCTGGGCCTGTTCAGCCTTAAAAAGAGACAACTGAGATATGCTGGATCAGATGTGACACACTGTGGTCCCTTCCAACCTGACCCATTCTGTCATTCTATGTGTGTAAACATGTGTGCAAACACACAAATACACACACACATTTTCTGCATCTCTCCTCTCTCCTTTTTAACCAGAACGGTACTTTTCTTTTCAAATTTAAATCACAGGTATCTTCCCTATGTCATATATTTCATAGCACAAATGCAAAGTGTATATATATATATATACATATATATATATATATACATATATATATATATATATATACTTACCTGCCTCAGACTAATTTAATAATCCAATTCTGCCCTCAGGATTCAGTAAATATAAAAGTTTTGCTTTTAAGCAAAAACTTTAAGTTTTAAGCTGTAACACCTCTCCCCAGGTATGGCTGATGCTTATTTTCTTTTCTCCACTAAGATTTTTTTATCCAATAGGCTTTTGTATATAGCTTCTACAAAAGTTATCATTTTTATAAATGAGTGGTTGGAAACAGTCATTGTGCACTTTTTTTCCCTCAAGAAACATCCTTTCCAGATAGTCTTTCAAGTGAAAACAGTTCTTTTGTTTTGAAGAATCATCAACTTATTTTTTATCATTGTGTTAAAATTCTGAGAGGCTTCCTCCCCAAGCCATTATCTGCTAAGGAGTTTATTATATGTCAGTGGGTAATAGTTTCTCTCCTTAAAGAATTTTTCTAATATCTAGTTCTCAGTAACCCATTGTTCTTTGCTTTCAGTAGTGATATACTTTAATAGTTTCTTCCTGGACATTGACTACTGCATTTTGCAGATTACTATCTTCTAAAGTCCTATAATATGTCACTTACTAGAGTAAAAATGGTCAGAATAGATACTGCTGGAACAATAGATATTAAAATAGCTTTTTTAAATATTTTAAATACTTTAAAAATATTTATGACTAATCTTATTATATAAACTTAGGGAAAAGTTAACTATATCTATAGTCAGAACACAATTATATAATCCTACAGAAGTAACTGTAGCTTTTGCCTTCTTTTTGTCCACAAATTTTTGCATCATTGTAATATATAATGTTATTTATACCATGTGATATAGCCAGATAGTATAAAAGGATAAGAAAGCAGTCACATTGCTTCAGCTAGAAATATTCCTTCTGACTTATTTTTTTTTCAATTTACTGTTATCTTCCTTCTTACTTGCTGTTTATTTTCTATTCCTTCCATTCTCTCAGAATTTTAATTATATTTAACTCCTACATTGCCAATTGTTATTTATACATAAATTAAATGTTTTAGTAATTTAGTAATTATTCTTCCCATAGCAAATTCTACTCTGTATGGCAAAGAGAACCATGCTAGGACTGTAACAAGGCCTTCCTCCAGTTTCTGAGTTGCACAAAGATTAGTGTACACAGTGCAGATTTTATATTTATATCTATTTGCCTGGATGAAGTCAATAACTGTGCTCCCTACTCTTTACACTGATCAAAGCACCACAAATTGTAATTTGGCAATAGAGAATTAAATTAAGACAGCTATTGAACTTCTTTAGTCCTGTGCCATATAAATCTGTCATCTTGTTTTAAAGCAATAGTGGGAGAATGGGTATTTTCTTTATTTATAAAGCCATAATTAGCATTCCATTTGGAAATTTCCAAAATATCCCTGTCTTTCCTCTGAAATGTTAAATAAAAACAAAACAACTTTTCTACCTTCCACTTTTCTTCAACAGCCAGTGTAGCTTGATCCCAGTAGCAGCAAGGAATACATATGAATCAGAAAGGAGCAGTAGCAAGTGAAATCAGGTATTAGGTAATTCCCAAAGGAGTGACTTCTATGAAAGGGATAAGAAACAACTGAACCATCCATTAAACATTTTCCTAGTCCTGAACATTTAAAAAAGAATTCTAAACACAAGGATATTTTCCTTGTGCTCTTTTCCCTGTTTCTTTATTAGGCCTCGTCTGAGCTGCAGTAAATGCAGCTTCATACCCAACAGTGACTGGCAGTGTGGTGTTGTTTCCAATATGTGTTGAAAAAAATGTTATCTGCCACAGTATCCAATGAAATTTTATCATTCTTACATGTAGACAGATGTATGTGCAGGTACAGATATAGATAATGCACACTTCCTAAAAAACAAAGCACATTAAAATGGTTTTTCAAGTAGCACATATAACCAAGTCCTTTTGTTATCTAAAGTCTACCCCTTCTGTAACAAAATATCTAAATAAATGTGAAGATAGAAGTTTTGTTTTGATAGCATCCACTAAATGCAATCAGGAAACAACAGCTGCAGAGCCATATATCCATTGGAGTTCAAAGAATGGATTGTAATGGTAGAGTAATTCCTCTCTATTAATTAAAAAAAAAAAAAAAAGGCTTTCAGACAGCTGGTCTTTGTGTATGATGAATGTTAAAAGTCTTAGGAAGACTCACATAACATAAATTAGTTTTTCTAGTTCTATAAAATATTATTTACAGAGTTGACTTTTTGAAAATGCCAAAGATTAAAATTCACCTTTGCCCCTTCTCTTTCAGTGGAGAAGAAACAGATGCCCTGGCATGTCCAGGTCACTCCTGAGCCAGCCAGGGTGGTGACCATGGCTGAGAGGAGGTCTGCATGGGCTGACACTGCAGTGAATTTAGTGAGGTTGTGGTCCCTGTGGTTCCCCAGAGTGCCGTGGCAACAGGGAGAGCTGTGCATGGCTGCCATGGGTCCAGAGCAGCTGCTGCCTCAGCAGGCAGCACAGAATCCTTGCAGGGGAGCTCTGACCCCAGCAGGTCAGTGGGACAGGAAAACCACATTACTGGCAGCGGTTGTCCTGTTCTTGGAGCCTGGAAGCTCTCATGACCACATATTTCCTTCTCTAAAATATGAACACCTGAAAAAAGGGGAAAAAACAACCCATTGATCTGCAGATGTGTAAGAACCAAGAAGAGGAGTGTAGTCAGAAAGAGAAGTGTTCACTTCCAATCATGCTGAGATAGGATCCACTTCTGCTGTGCAAAAGTATTAACAAATTAAAAAAACCTTCTGTTATCCATAGGGGTCTGTCAGCTATTATTGTACTTCTGGGAAAAAAAATATCAATAGATTTTCACAGTAGTCCCAATATCTTTCTGCAGCATACAAGACAAACAGTATTAAACATCATGGTCTCCAGAAAGACAGCTTTCAGAAATACTGTTGAGTCCAGGAATTTACCATTTTCTTTTGTTGAAAGCTAAATTATGTCTATATTACTTGCCTTTAAAAGTCTTTGCCAGAAAATACATTATTATTACAACCTGGAACTGTCTTAGGGCAGTGGCAGGACGCTTGTCCTAGACAGGTTGCTTCCTTTTTCCCCCACGTGACTGGAATAATGGTATGAAATTGTAAGCCTCATTATTTCAAAGACAATTAAGTATTTTTGAACTGTTTTTGACCATATGTGGTTTCTTGTTCTTTTATTTCATAGGGGTTTTTAATATACAGTTAAATACAAACCTCTTGTATTCTTTTTTTCCTAGAGCCTTTTACATGCAATATGTAATGAAGACTCCTGCAGTTGCTTTTTTCTTGATCCAAAAATATATACACATTTTTCTAAGATATATTGCTTGAAGGTTGCCCTTACACTGAGAGTAGGTAGATCTGTTGTTAATGTTCATATTCAGTTGAAGTAACTTTTCACAGGAAGAGAAACAAAAGAGATAAAGAGAACTAAAAGCAGATCCACATTTACACTACTTACCCACATTCTGCCAGAGACAGAATGCATCAAAGCCAGACCTTTCTTAAGCACCTGCTACGAGCATTACTAATACCACAGGTGACCAGAAGCCTATGGTAAATTTTTGAGTCTCAGGAAGCAACAGCTAATAAGTGAGTATGGGTTTAAATGCCTTCCAAATTACCCCTCTCAAAATCTTCCTTTAACACAAAAGCATTTTCTTCCCAACCATTTTATAAAGACAGGTTTGCTGAGATCACTCAGAGTGCATCATGCTGTGCC